CCACATATCAGCTTTTTTCTCTCTACAAGTAGCTTTCCTTGCCCAGGAATCAGACCTTTTTAATCCAGCACCTGGAGCATGACAAATATACAGACAACTGCTAAGGTAGCTGAAAGTGAAGGAAATTGAAGAAGCGCACAAAGTGTCCACCCAAACATTAACAGCCCTGCCCCCATTGATGTGCAGCTCAGCAGCGTGTCTGATAGCAATAGATCAAACAGATGCCAAGAAACTAATAATGCCAGCTGATGGATATCATAGGATCCAAATCTGAAAATATAAAATGCCTACTATCCTGAAGACAGATTTATCACTTGCTTCGCAATGATGTTGGTTTATTACATTGCTTTCACTGGCAAGCACATCAGATCAAACTGTCCGGCCGCTCATTTCTTACGAAATTAGCCAAGGATGAAGACTGCCTCAGGAAATTAAACAAAAAACAACAACCAATAATGTTATTCATCAACTTGGCCAACGCAGATCCTATTGTCCTGTGTCTGGGAATAAAAGACCGCAATACTGTTTAGCCATAAGAGCAAGGTAAGCATTTTGAATGACAGCTTGATTGCCCTGCAAGAAATATTTCCACTTAGGACAGATGGATTATAGTTGTGATGCCATACTGGGTTGCCAAAATCTGGAAGGCTGCAAATCCTTGAGAGTTTTGCAGCCCAGATATGGCTTCGGGTCATTTTTCATTTGGAAAGTGGAATTACAATCCCTTCTTCAACTCAAATCAATTGGAAATTCACCTGGAGAAAGAACCAATCAGAAAATGGTTTTCCAGAATTCCAATGACATGGTCCAATGATTGATTGGTTGGTTCCAGCTCCCCGGGAACTGTTAGGAAGTGACCTATGAAGCAGATCATTTGGACCCCTGAAGATACTGGCAAAATGTCAGGATGCCAGATAATTAGACTATGGTCTAATAGCCTGGAAAATCATTACCATTGAATATAATCTCTTTGTTACTCCTATAATAACATCCATAGAATTGCAAACAGATTCAAAACCTGTTAAAAATCAGAGCATGGAATGGAATAATTAATATCTGAGAACATAAGATTTTGCATTGTGTCAGATCAGAGAACTGCACTGTGTTGCCATGGCTTCCAAAAGATAGATACAAATGCATTTTCTGATCCACTATCTGATCTTTTGAAAGAGGGGCATCCATTAAATCTGGGACTGCAGGGCTCTCTTACAGTTTCATAGGGCCTAACAATGATGATACAGTATGTAGCTGCTCTCTACAAGACCCCAGGTGTATATGGGGCTGGTGAACAAAACTGCAGAATTGGGAACGTCATCCACAGGAATTGGATGGGAGAACCTTGATTTGCCATAACTCAAAGCAAATTATCCTCATCAAGAGCATTGGGTATCACAGAAGTTGAGATGGCAGTCCATCTTGACTTTTTTGACTGACCTCCTGCTTCTAGGTGCTCTAAATTTTGGACAGTTTTGCAGTTGTTGTTTTTTTTTTACATTGCAAAATAGATTGCCATGCCTACAAGAATTGTCTTCCATGAGTTTCTTACTTCAACTGGTGTTATGTGTGAACTCTAAATGTTTCGGCCCTGGGCTATTCGTTGGACCTATTCTTGATGAATGCTTGCCCACCGAATAGGATTTACATCTATTGTGATCAGAGTTGTGTTGGCTAAGACAGAGGTCCCCAACCTTTTGGGCACAAGGGACCGGTTCCGTGGAGAGAGCTTTTTCTGTGGACCAGAGGGTGCGTGGTTTTGTGTGCTGCCTGCATCCCACGGATGGGGCTTTGCTTTTTTGTGTGGACAGGTTGCTGGCATACCACGGCCCAGTAATGGTCCATGGACCGGGGGTTGGGGACCCCTGGGCTAAAAGATAGGAAAGGTAGAGTTCTCCCTCTTCCACCAAAAAATCAAGATGACGACTAGATGGCAGTAAAGATACAGAGCTTTCTCTTTTCTACTATCTACTGATAATCCAGATTTTTTTAGATCAGATCTGAAATAGAGTCACAGGCTAGAAGGGCTTCTAGTCCAACTCCCTACCCATGGCAGGAAACCTTATTACATCCCCGACAAATGATTGTCCAATCTTTTCTTGAAAACTTCCAGTGATGGACCACCCACAACTCCAGGAGGCAGTTGCCTGGTAGCTCTAGAGTAGGGTTTTGGTAACAACGCTAGTTATGAAATTCTCATAAGAAGCTCTTTATTAGTGTTTCTTCCAAAATTCTCAACTATATTGAAAATGCTTTTATTTCATCCACCAATTATTTTTCTTTGACTGCAAGAATGCCTTCACGCTGGCTCAGGAATTCTGGGAGTTGAAGTCCACGAGTCATAAAAGAGCCAAGGTTGCCTACCCCTGTGCTAGACAGAATATAAGTAAGGATCTTATTTTGATCAATGATACTGAGAAATACAGGCAGGCCTAAAGACAAAAGATGAAACAAGCTCCCAGTTCTTATTCAGCTTCAAATTATAGAAGTGTATTGTGTTTTTCATTAGATCATAGTTTCCCATTTAAACAGAGGTCTACCCCATTTGAGAACTTGTAGAACAAGCACCACCCACAGGACTGACACAGTGGGTGGGTGACACAGTGATGTGTTCAATGATTGCCAGTGATTGAAAGTGTCACGTAGCTGATCCAGTCTCCGCAGCAATTAATGATATTCTTTTCCCACTCTTAAAAGAGGATTTTCTATTACCCTTTCAAAACCTTGACAAAAACCATTTCACAAAAAAAGGTAGCTTCTTCTTTCCTCATGTCATGATTCTAAACTGATAAGATATTCACTTTGCTGTCTGAATAATTTCAACAACCAGTTTATTATTTATACAACAATATACAACATGAACATCCATGGAAGAATAAAGACAAGAATAAAGAATAAAGTACATTCAACTGAAACATATACAGGTATAAACTTCACCCCAAATCAGAGCTGATTCTGTACGAGATTAGTAATTCTTCACTTTCTGAAATGGGATATGCTTTTGTTTATATGATATTTATTTAGTGACATCCAAATACATAATATTTACAAGGTATTTTTTTAAAAAAGGCAAGTCACATTCATAAATTATTTACTAAATGTTGGCAGTGAGGGAACCAAGAGACAGAAGAAAGGAAAATGTAACATTACACCAAAATGTGTTCAACAGCAAAGCTTTCAGCATAATTCTTTTTTTATTAAAATCACCACGAGGTGCAGAAGATCCAGACACGTTAGCCTCTTTGTCCACTTTTATTTCATTCCATTCGTTTCCATTTTTCAGAAGTTGTGGGTGCCCCATCACTGGAAGCTTTTAAGAAGAGACCGGACAGCCATTTGTCTGAAGGGACTCCTGCTTGAGCAGGGGGTGGATTAGAAGACCTCTAAGGTCCCTTCCAACCTTATTATTCTGTAGACTGTATCCCATGTGGCAAAGCCCTGATTAGCACTGGAGAACCTCAAGCTTATAGATACTTTTATGTATAGTAAAAATATATGTAACTCTAACATGGTATGTATTTTGACCCTAAATATTAAGAATAGCAAGATAAGTATGCAGTTTTGCTGAGGTGAAGGATGTAAAGAGTTAGATGAAATGTTTCTTAGAAAAAGTGGACTTTGAATAATGATATGTAGATAGAATTACCTATATAATTTGGAAGGTTTCCCAAACAACAGGATAAAGCAAGAAAAAAAAGGAGGCATTTATAAGTCCAGCAGGCTTTTAGGAGATGGGAATGACAGAGCTGAGGGGCTAAAATCTGTGAATTAATTTCCATAGGATAGAATCTAGCTGGAAATATGTTAGAAATACAGATTGTTAAGGTGACTGCAGATAATTTTCTTAATGGTTCTACATTTATAGGAAGCAGATTTCGTTAAGGATACAGTTTTGGAAACAAGACTCAATGCACCAACATATTATCCATGCAATGAATGAATCTAGTTCAGAAACTATAATGTTTTACATTATAATTTATACAAGAACAATATTACAAAATTTAAAACACTATGTATAACTGCACAAGGTATACATATTTCTGAAGCCCCACAAATTTCAAAAATAGTTCCGAAATTGGTGCTTCAAACGTTGCAAGAACACAGCACCTCTCTACTAATCATTACAGCAGCCTGCTTTTTTTTTCTTTCTTTCTAGGCATCCAAGTTTGAAAAATGCTGCTGCTGCTGCTGCTGCTGCTTTAAAGCAGGGCTTTTCAACCAGTGGTACGGGTACCACCTGTGGTACATTGGCACCTGGCAGGTGGTACGCGACCATCCTAGAAAAGTGGTAGCGGGAGAGGGGAATGAGCTGAACCGGTGGCAGCACCGCACTAGCCTGAGCGAGAGATGGCTGGAGCTGCAGGGCTCAGCGGAAGCGCCAGGATCAGTGCCACTTTTCAGCTGATTGGCGCTTCTTCGGGGCTGTCAGGGCTCAGTGGAAGCGCCAGGATCAGCGCCAGGCTCCAGCTGAAGCTCGGCACTGATCCTGGCGCTTCTGCTGAGCCCAGAAGAAGCACCGATCAGCTGGAATGTTGCAGCATCTCCAGGGTCTTGTGATTTACATTCAGATGTTCGGCAACTGATTCATATTTATGACGGTCACAGTGTCCCAGGGTCATGTGAAGTGACCAAAACCTGCTGCAACCACCCAGCAGACGGGGGGAATAAAAACCAAACACCCCCCCCACCCCACCCCTGCTGCCAATCCTCAACAGAAATGCTCACAATAATGAAAACCTCAGACAGGAGGAACAACGTGGCCGGGCGGGCAGGCAGGTGCCTTGCTCGGCTGTGGCTTGGGGGGCACTTTTTTCAGTGCCGTTGTAACTTCGAATAGTCACTAAGCGAACTGTTGTAAGTCGAGGACTACCTATACTTTATCACTTTTTTCCTTTTTTTTTTTGTCATCAAGTTTTTAACACCTTGCTGGGCGACTGGTGGTACTCGGATGTTGCCATATCCTAAAAGTGGTACAATGAGTGAAAAGGTTGAAAAGCCCTGCTTTAAAGATCCAATTCCGAATGCAAGTTTTAAAACAGCTACATCTTTTCTGTAGTTCACCTGAAAAAAGATGATCAGCTACATGGTTTCCTTGCATACACTGCATGCGTTCTGAAGCATGTTCTGAAGGACCTCTTTTGAAACATTTTCAAAGTTAGGCACATCTCTAACATATAGTGTATATACACATACAAGCAGCCGCTCTTTAATAAACATCTACAAAAATATTGAAACAGTGAAAACCACATTCAACACGTTTCATCCTTCATACGTATTTGATGTTCTGCTTCATATTTCATAATTTCTAAATTTCCGCAGAAGTTCAGATGGAGTGTCACCCGACCAACGAAAACGCAGGTGCCAGCAATTTGGATCTGAAAATCATGTAATGAAAAGAAAATGAATTTTTTATAAGACTAGAAAAAGTGTGATGGTTAAGAGGATATATGCATACAATTACATTTTGCAAGTGGGTTTGCGATGGTGGCGGTGTCCTACATTGAAGAACGTGCTATAACCAGATTTACCTGGCGAATCTGGGCTCTTTGGTGACATTGGTTTCCCATCAAATATTTGAAAATCCTCCATTTCCTTTTTATCTTGGAATAAATCATCCCTGTCGATTTCTGTCTTCAGCGAAAAATGATCAGCCATTTTGTCATTACGATTTGAATCGGGAGCATCCAACATTGGTTCTTTTTTATCTCTGACAGCCCAATGCATTGACTGGAACAAGAAAAATATATATATATATATAATTTGGTTGCCAAAATAAGCATCTAGCAACAAAACAAGCAGTGAATGAGCAGAAAAGTTTCAGGATCATATTGTGGATTAACTTAATGGTGTTATATGTGTTTATATTTCTGCCAGCACCTTAAATTTTAGTTATTCTAATAGCACTGTAAGTAGATTTGACAACTGACACAAAGGAATGGCTTTATTTTTAGTGTTAAATGTAAATGTTGTTGGTCAATGACTAAAACAGATGATTAGGATGGTGATATTGGTAATTTCCAGTGGTACTTTGAGGAATGAATGTTGTGTATCTGTGTGTGTGTTTGCAGATAAAGAATTATAAATAGATGCTCAAGGGAATTGTTCATAATGTATTTTATTTACTTGACCAAATCAACTGATAGTGGTAGAGATAGTGGTAGAGATAGTGGCTTAATTAAGGACAAATTATTCTTAGTTTTCAAATAGAGGGAAGGAGTATTTTTACTATCACAGGTCAGTTTTGCCTCATAAGTTTGTCGCAAAGTCAACAACCCCTTTTGCACACAGAATTGTTCCTCTGTTGGGAAAGAACAGTCATACAGTCATGTATGTCTATGCCTTCATGCAAGCAGAAAGTTCCATCCATCTGGCCTCACAGGAAGGCTGAAAAGGACACCACACAGATCCTGAAGAGTTTCTGCCAATCAGCCTACACTAAGGATAACCAGATTCTGATCTTTTCAATTGCAGTTCCCATAAGGCTCAGACATCATGGTCAATAGATTATTGAAGTTGTAGTGCAAAATACCTTGACAGAATATTGATAGACGTTCTCTTGATATAACACAATATCTGTAGCTCTGGAGTGAACTGTGGGGTCCTTGGTGCTCCCTGAGCTGGTTGTTTTCTTGCAGATTTTTCATTAGCAAACTAGGTAACATCATCAGGGCATCGATGTTACCTAGTTTGCTCATGAAACATCTGCAAGAAAACCACCAAGCTCAGAGAACACCAAGGACCCCACAGTTCAATCCAGAGGTACAGATATTCTCTTCTACCGTATCAAAATACCGGTTTATTGTATAGGAAATGCTGAAGTACATAAATAAACAATCTGATTTGGCATAAGGTGACACATAATGCCCCTCTGCTGGAAATTTATTTTCCTTTTAAATTAGATGAGTTGTTTTTTGTGTCCTCAAGACATTTCCCAACCCTATCATCAGAATTTATATATTTAACATCATTATTTACATATTTATTCAAAACATTTATATGGCTGCCCAACTCAAAATAATGTGATTCTGGGTAACATACAAAAAAAATAAAAGAAAGAAAGCAAAAAATCAAACCAACCAATACAGAAACAACATACATCATTAAAGCCTTCTTTAAAAAAAATAAAATGATGATCAAAGGTGAGATACTGTCATGGTTCCGACAGATACAACTCTTCAAAAGAACTTCGAGGCATTGTTTACCTTAAAGAATCTTTTATTCGAGAAGCATAATATCGGCACTACATAACTGAAGCCAAAACTGAATTCTCCTCCCCTTGGCACAAAGTAGCAAAGCACAATTCCCTCCTCCAACTGACAGTCATAAATCACATTCCCCAATTAGCTTGAAACGTGGGCTCTCTCCACAGCTCTCCAGCCTGCCAAATCGTTATCAACTCTGGCTCAGTAACCTTGAATTCCCACAGCTTAGTTTTTTGTTGTTATGACTAACTGGACTCTCATCCACATTCCCCCTCCCAGCATCATCTAACTCTAAAAGCGAAAGAGACAAATGGCTGCATTTCCATCTGTTGACAGATACACTATAACTAATGGTGGGATTCAAATATATGAACAACCAGTTCTCTAGGTGGATGCCGCTTCCGGACGTCCATTCTGGGCCTGGGCAACAAAAAATTAGCTATCGGTTCTGCCGAAGTGGTGCAAACCGGCTGAATCCCACCGCTGCTTCTGAGCCTGCAGCAAAACTTTCTGCATGATGAAATAAAACTCACTACAAAGTTATCATAGCCTTAGTGCCAGGCCTAAGAGGACTCTTTGGAAAATAGTTTGCCACAAGATGTTGCAAGATTCTTGCCCAGGTAAGATCCACCCCATGACAATTTTCCACCTGGGGCGAAGAAGAAAACAAATATGTGGGATTCAAATATGTGAACAACCGATTCTCTGGGTGGATGCCGCTTCCGGAAGTCCATTCTGGGCAACAAAAAATTAGCTACCGGTTCTGCCGAAGTGGCGCGAACTGGCTGAATCCCACCACTGACTATAACTCCTCATATTGGAAATTCATCCTGACCCAAAGGCCTCCAGAAAAAGACAGGTCTAGACCATCTTTCTAAAGATCTGCTGGATCAGGGCCAACTGTATGTCAGAGAGAAGTTCTATCAGGCGGGGGCCACCACCGAGAAAGCATGACATTGTTTCGAGGAGGGGACACAGAGAATGCTCCCCTTGTTGGGGCATAGGAGAAAGGCAGATACCCTTGGAAGCAAATGGTTCCACAAATAACCTGACCCTGTGCCAGGCAAGATATTAAAAGTGATAATCAGCTTCTTGAGTTGTACCAAGAAGACTAGTAGGACCCAATGCAGTTCGCAGGGTAGTACAAAATAATACCACTTTACAATGCCTTAGTAAGGCCACACTTGGAATACTGCATCCAGTTTTGGTCACCACGATGTAGAAAAGATGTTGAGACTCTAGAAAGAGTACAGAGAAGAGCAACAAAGATGATTAGGGGACTGGAGGCTAAAACATATAAGGAACCGTTGCTGGAATTGGGTATGTAGTTTAATGAAGAGAAGGACGAGGGGCGACATGATAGCAGTCTTCCAATATCTCAGGGGCTGCCCCAAAGAAGAGGGAGTCAAGCTATTCTCCAAGGCGCCTGAAGGCAGGACGAGAAGCAACGGGTGGAAACTAAGCAAGGAGAGAAGCAACCTAGAACTAAGGAGAAACTTCCTGACAGTGAGAACAATTAACCAGTGGAACAACCTGCCTCCAGAAGCGGTGAATGCGCCAACACTGGAAGTTTTTAAGAAGAAACTGGACAGCCATTTGTCCGAAATGATATAGGGTTTCCTGCCTGAGCAGGGGGTTGGACTAGATGACCTCCAAGGTCCCTTCCAACTTTATCATCATCATTATTATCTGCCACCCAGGAGATAGTTTTCCCTCCCACAAATGGGTATAACAGTTCATTTCTCCGAGATATGTGGCCGCACAAGACAAAACTAACTGTTTTCATCGAGTTGCTCAGGGCTTCCCACTGCTGGAATGGGATAGCAATTTTGCTCCTTCGCCAGTAGTCATAGCGGGCTCGGCTGTCTTCATTAGAAAGAATCTCTTTGGCATGCTGCAACTTCTGAAAATTCTCCACTATAAAACAGAAACGGAAGAACGTTTTATGGAGGAAAGCATTCATAGATTTTTCTAGCATATAGTTCGATTATTTTTTTTGTAGGAATCTGATCCAGGGGTGTCCAACCTTGGCGACTTTAAGACTTGTGGACTTCAGCTCCCAGAATTCCCCAGCCAGCATGGGAATTCTGGGAACTGAAGCCCACAAGTCTTCAAAGTTGCCAAGGTTGGACACCCCTAGTCTGATCAATGGCATACTGCTTTTGACTTATCCATTACGCACACCTACATGCACACAACAACAAAATGCCTTAGGCATGAAACCAGCTGGGTGTCACTTTCTCTCAGAGAGATTGGATGCAGCCTGTGATAATGCCTTTAATCGAGCGATCTTTTTTTTTTTTTTTGCATGTTTCCCAAAGGTCTGTGGGCAAACAAGACAGTTTATTGAATATTGATGAATATTATCTACAGAAAAAAAATAATCAATAGAAACTTAATGAAGATCTATTGACATTGGTTAATTTTCTTTTTTCTTTTTGAAAAATTTATCGGCTTTCTAATATTACATTTATATCTTTGAAAAGCAACGTGGTGGCTGAGTTACCATGATTGAATTACAGACAAATATCATAGTACAAATCTCAAACTATTACAATAAATATTTCCTCTCTTTTCCCCTTAATATGTACTGTCTCATAATTTAAAGTAATACACTTCTTATTCTATCAATCAAATAAAAAATAACTTTCTTACATTTATCAATAGTTTTTAGTTTATATATATATCTTAATTGTTTTAACATTCAATCTTTGAGACGATCAATGTCCTAGTGAGTTTTTCCCAATTTTAATTTTCCATTAATATTTAAAATTAACGTTTAATATTTATCATTTCCAGGTTTTTAATCGAGCAATCTGTTCCCATCATTGCCAAGAAGTTTTCTCTGGAAAGTCAGCAAACAGATCGGGGAAACAACTGTTCTTTGGTTGGTGATCCCTCATAATTAACATACGGAGATTCGGTCTCTGAATTGAAGATAATATACTATCAGCATTAGTGGCAGATGCCAACAGTCATTTCCTCCAGGAAGTCTGTGCAAGTATACACATTTTTATCTAATGGTTATTTTTAGCAAATAGATGTTTTTATTATCATGACTCAAACCCAACCCCAACCCCGTTTGACAACAGGTCCCTGGTGGATCAAAACCAAGGTGTGTCCAAGACAGAAAGAAAGGTGCTGGTCCTCTTTCTATTGCTTTAAACACAAGGCTTTTGAGCAGTGGTGGGATTCAAATATATGAACAACCGGTTCTCTGGGTGGATGCCACTCCCGGAGGTCCGTTCTGGGCCTGGGCAACAAAAAATTAGCTACCGATTCCGCCGAAGTGGTGCGAATCGGCTGAATCCCACCACTGCTTCTGAGCCTGTAGCAAAACTTTCTGCACATTTATGACGAAATAAAACTCACTACAAAGTTATCATAGCCTTAGTGCCAGGCCTAAGAGGACTCTTTGGAAAATAGTTTGCCACAAGATGTTGCAAGATTCTTGCCCAGGTAAGATCCACCCATGACAATTTTCTGCCTGGGGCGAAGAAGAAAACAAAACCCCTCTCATGTGAGGCTGCATTAACAGAGGGACAGAATCAAGATCACGTGAAGTGTTAATACCACTTTACAATGCCTTGGTAAGGCCACAGTTGGAATACGGCATCCAGTTTGGGTCACCACGATGTAAAAAAGATGCTGAGACTCTAGAAAGAGTACAGAGAAGAGCAACAAAGATGATCAGGGGACTGGAGGCTAAAACCTAAAATCGAATTATTTAATTCGATTTTAAAACAAACTATTTATTTATTATCGTGGTTTTTAGTATCGCCTGTTCACCGCCCTGAGTCCCGCAAGGGAGATAGGGCGGTATATAAATTAATTAAATAAATAAATAAATAAATAAATAAATAAATAAATAAATAAATAAATAAATAAAGAAAGAAAGAAAGAAAGAAAGAAAGAAAGAAAGAAAGAAAGAAAGAAAGAAAACCTATAAGGAACGGTTGCTGGAATTGGGTATGTCTAGTTTGGTGAAGAGAAAGACGAGGGAAGATATGATAGCAGTGTTCCAGTATCTCAGGGACTGCCAGAAAAAAGAGGGAGTCAAGCTAGTCTCCAAAGCACCTGAAGGCAGGACAAGAAGTAACAGATGGAAACTAATCAAGGAGAGAAGCAACCTAGAACTAAGGAGAAATTTCCTGACAGTGAGAACAATTAACCAGTGGAACAACTTGCCTCCAGAAGCGGTGAATGCTCCAACACTGGAAGTTTTTAAGAAGAGACTGGACAGCCATTTGTCTGAAATTGTATAGGACAGACATGTCAAACACAAGGCCCAGGGGCCGGATGCGGCCCGCGAAGTGGTTTCATGTGGCCCGCGAAGCCATCCTGGAAACAGTGAGGGAACGGCCCCCGCTTCCTTGGCCCTGGCCCAGGCCAGCCAGGAGCCAATGTACAATTTTGTGGTGGCCATTTATGCTGAAACACATTCAGTCTTAGCTGTCTGGAAACAGCGAGGAACCAGCCCCTGCCGTGTCGGCCCCACCCCCTGGGTGCATGCTGGGGAGATGTCACCGTTTATGAGGAATGAAGAAATGCACCATCGCCTGGAAGTGGCCAGCAAATGGCCCTCGCCTACTTCACATATCCAGCTTGATGGGCTCTGCCCTGGTCCCACCCCTTTCTTCCAGAGACCCTCAGATCTGTCCCACTCCTGCCCAGGCCCCCACAGGCACCCTTGACGCGAATGATGTAGAGCTGGCCATGCCCACCCAATAGGCCACACCCACTCCATCCACGCCCACCCAGTAGGCCACACCCACCCGGCCCCCCGAGGGCAACCGCAATGCTGATGTGGCCCTCAATGAAGTTGAGTTTGACACCCCTGGTATAGGGTGTCTTGCCTGAGCAGGGGGTTGGACTAGAAGACCTCCAAGGTCCCTTCCAAATAATAATAATAATAATAATAATAATAATAATTATTATTATTATTATTATTATTATTATTATTATTATTATTATTATTATTATTATTATTATTATTATTATTATTATTATTATTTATTATTATTAATCTAAACAATTTGAGTGGAAGTTTATTGTTTCTGCCCCATTTTACCAATCTGCTGGTTTGCATTATGGTAGTGAGTTCTTTCCATTTTCTCTCTACTAGGGGGTTTAAATCTTCCTTGTCCTCCTGGTAACAGAAATAGTATCTCTAAAGATTATGAAAATATGTGTTTTAGCTATGAGTCACCTTTCTGTTCCGTGGCACCGACAATGATCCTTCATTTATGCAGGTCTACTAAACCGGATATTTGTTTGGAAATACGTGAAATTCAAACGCTAACAAGGGCTGACAGATACAAACATTGTAGAGATGGCTTTTCCGATTCAATTGCTTCTTACCATTTTGCCGGCTGAAAGCTGTTCTACAGGAAGCAATGCAGACAAAAGGAAAAGAGTAGCTTTTCTTTTTAGTGACGCAAATTTTGCGACGCGCACAGGAATCATAAATTATTTGATGGGGCTTTTTTGAGGAAGCATGCACACTATTCATTTTAATTAATATGCAGTATTTTCCCTAGCTCTTATTTATCCACGCATCCACAGTCCAGTTGCCTTTTGAAGGAAAAAAAGCACCTTTGAGAGAGATAAGTCTTGTGAATCTGATTGATTTGTGTTAATGGAGAAACAATTATTTTTTTAAAAAAAGAGGAACATCTTTAAAAGAAATTCATTGAGATTAATGGGTAGGATAGGCTCTTTATTGTGTTGCCAGTAGATCTCTTGGGGCTCAAGATATGTGAGTCCCTTGGGATCAAATTGACAGCAGGCATGTAATAGCTTCAGTGAAAATAGCCCCCTTCCCAAGCTTTTATATTAATAAACAAGCAGAAAGAGGAAGCTCTTTGCACATATCACCAATTAGGTGTTAGGTGAACCCAACAAAATCACCCCAGTGTATCTCAAGTGCTCTCCAGCCAGCCTTGAGTCAGCTGAAAACTATACTAACAGGAAATGTGTTTCTCTATTGCTGATTTTGCTTCTGTAGCCCCCTAATTTCCCTCCAATGAAATTTATTTAAGGTGACCAACTTTTTTACAATGAGAAGGAGGACACAAATAAATTGAAGAAAAAAAAGTGAGTCTAATGCGTGCATGTGTGCCGTGTCGTGTTTCAGTAAGAAGTACACAAAGCCACTTGCGTGCGGCACACTCTTGCGCGCGGCGCACTCTCTCAAAACAATTCTCCTATGCAGAGTGCATGCGTCTCATAATCGTGTCTCACCGCACTGTACCGAGCCTTGTTTCCTGACTTGGTGTATCTCAAAACTTTGATACCTATTTATTTAAATAAAGAGCAAGGTTCCAAAAACAGATAAGCAATTTTTGTAACTCCCAATTAAATATATATTATCAAAAAACTGGGCTAGAGAACCAAGCATCTATAGTCCTTTTCTAGATTCACTGCTGTATAAATGCTGAAGCAATACATTGGAAAGGCATCACATAAAATAAATAGACTAGGTCACAGCCTAGCACAGTGGTGGCGAACCTATGGCACAGGTGCCAGAGGTGGCACTCAGAGCCCTCTCTGTGGGCACGTGCGCCGTCGCCCCAGTCCTAGGCCTTCAGCTGGGTTTTATAAAACCTTTTCGCTTTAGGCCTCCACCACCGTGTGCAAAAAAAAAAGGTTCAATCAGTCAATTTCAACTTCTTGCGGGGAAAAAAATCTTGCAAAGTTGGAATTGATTGATTGAACTTTTTAGTCCCACCCAGTCTGCCATTACCACCGCAGCCATGCCCAGCCAATGGGCCACACCCAACCAATGGGCCACACCCAGCCAATGGGCCACACCCACCCGGCACCCGACGATGCATAAGTGGGTTTTGGGTTGCAGTTTGGGCATTCGGTCTCTAAAAGGTTCGCCATCACTGGCCTACCAGGATCTAAGACAGTGGTTCTCAACCTGTGGGTCGGGACCCCATTTGGGGTCGATCGACCATTTCACGGGGGTCGCCAAGCAAGGCTGTCTGCCATTTTTTTGTCCGCCATTTTTTTTGTCCGCCATTTTTTTTCCCTTTTCCGGCGGGTGCCTTACCTCCCTTGGGCTGGGCCAGCTGGTGGTTGGCCTGCTCCGTCTCTGCCGCTTGCCAGCTACGCCTCGGCCGGCGCAGGGGGAGGAACCACGCATGCGCGGTGCTCCCGGGCAGGGAAAGTCCTCGACTTACAACCGGTTGGGTAGTCCTCGACTTACGACCGGTTTAGTCCTCGACTTACGACTGGTTTAGTCCTCGACTTACGACCGGTTTAGTCCTCGACTTACGACCGGTTGGGGTCACGGCATTAAAAAGGTTGAGAACCACTGATCTAAGATTTGAACACTTGCAATTAAACAGCTGATCAACAAGATGGCTAACTTTATTTTAGACAGGATACCCAAATCTTCATGATGAGAGAACTACACATTTGAATATCACTCCCATTTTCTGGTTCACTGGGTGCTACTGAGGATGCTTTGCCCAAGAGCGTCCACATCCGCCTCGTGGTGGTTTACAGAAAGAAAGTGAGAAAGACATACCAGCCTGAGGGTTTCCGGGATGCTTGTCTGGATGGCATTCAAGAGCTCTAACTTTAAACTCTGCAACGATTTGTTCAACCTATGCAAAAACAGCAAAAACCATTCATGAAAGCTGAGTCCAACTTCTTTTTAATGTTTTTCTTTTTCTAAGCATCTTTTAGAACTGCTCATATCCTCGCTGCATGCGAGGGAAGGCGAGAAAGCAAGATGTTAGCATACCATTATATGTGTGAAGTTATGGACTTCTATGACCACAGAAATTTACCTATTTAAGTTTAGGAAATTATTTGCAGGTTGTCCTCAATTTACAAGCAACCATTTAATGGCTGTTTGTAATTACGGCACTGAAAAAAGTACCTTAGGATCGGTCCTCGTACTTATGACGGTCACAACACCCCCACAGTCTCATGATCAAAATTCAGGTTATCACCATTTTGCAACCTTCCCTGCCAGCTTCCAACAAACAAAGTCATGACTGTGTGATTCATTTAACAACTGAAATGATTCGCTTAACAACCATGGCAAAAAAAGTCATAAAACTGGACAGAACTAACCTATCAATCACCTGGCTTAGCAACAGAGATGCTGGTTCCAGTTGTGTATCTTTATCTACTCCTATGCAAAGTTCACATATTCAGCAACACAACATTCCCCAGTGTGGTTCTCTTCAGATGTATGGAATTTACAAGTCTCAAAACCTCCACTCCCAACAGATTAAAGAGCATTATGTTGAGGAGGACTAATATAATTGTTTCTTTGCTAAAAACTGGAGCTAAAATCCTCACTATCTAGTAAAATATGGAACTCAGTTTAGAGTTGACATACTCTTCATTTTAACTCAAAGGTTTGAGTGATCATAATTCCCAATAAAACAATGTGCTGCCTAAAATAGGATATGCAGTAGCAGATCACCACTTAAATGTAATATTAAAAATGTGGATCCATAGGTTACATGTTACAATCTCTTTCATTATACTGTATTTTATTAGTTTTAAGATAAATGATAAATTGCCATACTGAAAATAACAAAAGTATACTGTATTGTTCTGTTTTCAGAAAAAATTTCACATTTTCTCATCTTGCAAAACCTGATGATACTCTTGTGTAAATTAATCTAATTAAAAATCAAATCTTTGATTGGCATCTGGGGTCTTATATAACTCGTATTTGTGGAAAGTAAGGTAGTCCAAGTAGTTTTCAATTTAACATTCTTCCTGGCCAAATCAACTATTATTTATATTTTCCCTGAAAAATAAATGAATTTAGCGAACATTTGAAATACTTTTCTAGACTTACAAGAAACAAATTGATACCTCCTCAATTATTGACTCTTGCTGCAAATTAAAATAATCAGCTGAAAAGCCCATAAAAGAGGCAATTTTTTTGGCTACCCCATTATCATAGCTGGAAATCTAGAAACCTTAATTCAAAACCCACAGTTGAGATTACACATTTTTGAGAGTCAAAATCTTTCATAACACCTGGTTGCTGTTTAAGTCGACTGAAAAATATTTTTACTAGAATAGCTAAAATTACATTCTTCTCAACCACTTCCCTCAGCAATATTTACTAAAGCTTTTCAGTGTTTACAAGATCACAAAATGAATAGTGGGCAAAGTACAAGCAGCACAACGTTTTTAAACATAAACGTTACTACGCACTACTCCATTCCAAAAATCACATACTTTCACTACAAGAGATTACACCATTCGTTCAAGTAAACAGGTATTTCCATCTGTACAGCAAGTGGCAACTTCAAAAAAAAAGGGGTCATTGCTCAGTAGTAGAACAGCTGATAAAACATTTTAGGTTCAATTTTTGGCATCTCCAGTCTGAAATTCAGTCATGGCTAGTCACGAGAGGAGCAATGGTAGGACTTGATATAAAGAAGTGCTCTAAAGTTGCATCATAAAAAGGAATTTAAAAAAAAAAACATGTTTCAGGCCCTGATCATTACTATTTCATTGGAAAAACCACCGTCAACAAATTTTACAACTGCTGTCAAATTTTGTGACCATCAGCCTTCAGCAGAGCACAGCCCTATTAGCTCACAACGGAAGGATGTCGATCACATATAATCAACTGTGAACATTTAGTAATGTACAAGATTTTAGACATTCTTAAAAGTCTAAAAGGTTTGTCAATATTCCACAATTCATCTCCTATGAAAGATTCACAATAGCAGATAATTACTCTGTTGCCCCCTTACGCAATGTAAATCTTATTAAGCATCTAGCAATTATTTTCTAAACATCTCTTTAAGACCTTGTGTTGTGTTATGAATATCTTTCTAGAAGTCCCCAAGTTTTCTTTGAAGACTACTTCATTATTTACATGACACAATGCTTCAGCTAATATCAATAAACAATGCAGAATTCAAGAGAAAGTTTTCCAGCAGTATAAGAGAAGATGGATAAAGGAAAAGACTAAACAGATTGATTACTATAATAAATACAGGTTTGAGCACATTATAGAAAAGCAAAACAACTCGTCTTACACACACAGTTCCAATTCAACCAATTGACAAAGATGGAAAGAGAATATATAAATTTAAGAGTTCTCTTACTGTAGATAATTCATCACATCCCAGCAAGCTATAATAATCTTCCATATCCTCCAGCCTGCAGCTGAATATTGCATCCATTTTTTTTACACTCTCTGCTTTCTCACTACCAAGAAACAGGGAGCCTAAACAACCAAGGTTTATTTAAAATATTTACACGAGAATCCACAGATGTAAGTGATGCTACAGCTCAACTATAGCTGGCTTTATACACAGAACAAATGTCACGGGAGACTCTGAAGTTACACCCCTTGAATAAGCCTGCTTTTATTGGTGAAAACAAAAGACAAACTGCAGCTGCAAAGCTTCATGGGAGAGGTAGTTTTCCATGTCATGTTAAAAGTAATCCAGCTATGATTTTCATTTCCAAGAACTAAAGTTATGTTTATTGTATATTTATACAATAAAAATACAAGGCATTTATTATTAGGAAGATAAGAAATTGGACTTTGGAAGTCCTTGATTTTCTTCACTAATTCTAGCTTCACACTCATTGCAAAAGCTTCTGTAATTTAATATTTCTTATTTTCCAGGTAGGAACTCTTCACTTTGACATGTTTATTACTGCGCTATTAAATTGGATACACAAGAATTGTTCCAAGTTTGTGAACTGTAACCTATAATTTAAGACTCTGCGTGTGGCATGTACCAACCAGTGGTGATTTACTCAATAAACTACAAATAAAGAAACCATAACTCAGTATGAACCCTATTACTTGTTTCCCATTTATATAGCCTTTATAATAAATTCACCTAAAATAAAAGTGAGAACCTTGAGGCAGTCTAGTTTAATTACTGTTAAGTTGATGAGTAAATGGAATTAACTGACTGTCTAGGGGTTAAATGGATACAAATAATTCAGATAATGAAAGAAAGCTAAATCAATGAGAAAAAAGAGTCACTGTAAGTTGGGCAGCCAATACTTTTGATTATAAACCAGCTAGGGTGTGTAAACTTTATAGAAATATTTTGCTACAAACACTCATATGGAACCAAAGTGGTACCATTAACACAGTAATTGCATGACATGCACAACGCTCAGTGATCCAATTTATGTAGTTGCATTATTGTGACATTTTTTTTATCACTGTAGAAAAATGAGCAATAAACATGCAATAAAATAAAATGATAAAAATGCACAATTAATAAAATCAGCAACTACCATGCTACCTAAAATCCTCTATGGTCACATAAATATTTACAATTAATGCAGTTTTTATAAATAATGTATTGTTTACACCAGAGGTCCCCAACCTTTTGGGCACCAGGGACCACTTCCGTGGAGAGAGGTTTTTCCGCAGACTGGAGGGGATAATTGATGGGGCTTTGCTTGTTTGTGCGGACCGGTTGCTGGATTACATGGACCAGGGTTGGGGACCCCTGGTTTACACCATCGGTGTCCAACCTTGGCAACTTTATATATATAGCACAGGTGTGAAAAGCATTTAATACACCCGAGGACTGATGGGAGTCAGTTTGGTCTAATGGTTAAGGCAGGGGACTTCAAACTTGGCCCTTTTATGACTTGTGGACTTCAACTCCCAGAATTCCTCAGCCAGCGTGCCTGGCTGAGGAATTCTGGGAGTTGAAGTCCACAAGTCATAAAAGGGCCAAGTTTGAAGACCCCTGGGTTAAGGCATCGGGCTAGAAACCAGACAACATGACTTCAAGTCCCACCTTAGCCATGAAAGCCAGCTAGGTGACTTTGGACCAGTCACTCTCTCTCAGCCCAACCTCTCAAAGTGTTGTTATTGTGAGGAAAATAGGAAGAGGAAGATGTGTTGGATATGTTAGTGCCTTGAGTTATTTTTTGTATTAATAATAATAAAGACAGGATACAAATGAAATAAATATTTCTTCATAACTTCCTAACTCAAAAGAAAGAGCTTCCTCTCATCATCTGATGCTGATGACATTTTATTCTACTATCTGAATGATCTCACTCAGTGTTCAGTTTTGTGGGATATACAGATAGTTCTCGACTTACGACCACAATTGAACCCAAAATTTCCATTGCTCAGCAATACAGTTATTAAGTGAGTTTTGCTCATTTTACAGCCTTTTTGCCACATTTGTTAAGTGAATCACATGGTCATTAAGTGAAACTAGCTTCCCGCATTGACTTTGTTTCTTGGAAGGCAGCTGAAAAGGTTACAAATGGTAATCATATGACCCTGAAACAGTGCAAATATTATAAATACATGCCAGTTGCCAAGCACTCAAATTTTGATCATGTGATCATGGGAATGCTGCAATGATTGTGTGGGAAGTCACACACCCCCCAGAGAAGGAAATATTAAAAGGGCAGAATATTATATTTCCTCAAAGGATCTTAAAGAGGCAGAAAAGCATGCCCAGTTTTTTTCTTAATAGCCCCAAGTCTCCCTCCCCCAAGCAGAAACCAGCTCTGTAGAAATGCAGATGTAATAATCCATTCAGGAAGATTGGAGCCCTCCAGCTAGAAGTTTAGGAAGACAAAGACACCTACAATCTACATACCTCACCCAAACTCTAAGACAGGACATAATAGGATTAATCCACATTTGCCAAAAGGGCACACTCAGACTCAGGTCAAAGTACATGACACAGAAAATACAAAGCCTCAAACAGGAACAGGAAACAACTCCAAACAAAAGTCCAAGAGCGTATAAAAACCCACTCCCTACTACATGTGGTCTCTTACTCTTTTCTTCCAGAGCCATCTTTCTGTCTGGCTCTCCTCTTCAATAAACTGCAACCTTCTTTCTGAAACAGTCGCCATGTTGTTTATTCCCAGCTTGGACTGAACCCCAATGAAGACTTTTCCTTCAATAATTGTAAGTGTGAAAAACTTTCATAACTCCCTTTTTTCAGTGCCACTGTAACTTTGGTCACTAAACGAATGGTTGTAATTTGAGGACTGTCTGTACAAGGAGACCATGCAGAACCTAACCACATAAACATGATAAAACTGAGCAGAATTCCTTCTTGCTCAAGAGACGACCATTAAGTCAAAACATTGCAAAGGTGTGCCATCCCTGATCTAATTTTCTTAAAACAAAGTTTTATTGAAAGTTTTGCTATGAACATAAAAATGAACAAAGTAATAACAAGAAAAAGCAGAAATGAGGGGGGGGGAGGCAAACGTGCAGAAAGTAGGAAAAGAAATAGAAGCTTCTGATTTTCTTTGCAGCAAACATAAGGACAATTATAAAATTATCTTTTACTCTGTGATTACAAAATAAAAATCACTCTTTTCTATTATCCAGGTTTCTAACCACAAATCACAAGTGCATTTTTTTTTCCATTTTACAGTACGTTAAAAGTCTACAAAGGGATTTCCAGTCAGCCATAAAAATATTGTTTTTTCTCTAAGCCAAAAAATTAATTTAGTCATCTTCGCAAGTTCCATCATACTCACCAATCATTCCCCCCATTGTGGGTATAACTGAACTTTTCTCCTTTTCAGAATATAGTAGCATCGTAAAGTTATCATTTATAAAAAGATTTTTGACCAGCTGCTTAACGATTGATCTCAAAAGTCTCTGGTTTCAATTATATTTTAATCTTTAAAATCTTCTGAATTAATGTATGTATACGTATGATGATAGAATCTTAATTCTCCCCACCCACACAAACACTAAACTGAAAAAAAAACAGGTTTATTCTATTGCTGGTTTCTATTGCTTCTAAACCAAACTATGCATAAGAAAACAGTGTTTCTTGCGAGAATTAAATAAAATTCTCATGTAACCTCAGAGTGTGAAACATTATTACTGTTTACATAATGGATTTCACTGTAACAGAAATCTAGGAAAAGAAACACATGACTATTTATCCTATCGATTGTTCACAGTTACAAATAATTACAATTCTGTTTACCCAGCGGTTTTTACAACTTTAGGGTACTAGTATGACGTGAAAGATGATGAAATCTGATATTTGCAGTTCCACTTAGACATGGACAACATGTTTTGCACCATGTTTCTTCAAAAAAGAAATCACCTCTGTTTAAAATTTACGCTCATAAGGCAGTATTTGCAAACTAAGTAATACCAAGCAGACAAATTTAATAGAAGTCACAATGGACATATGTCGTAGTACTGTATCTGCAAACAATATGTTCTTATTTTTAAATTAGAATAAGAAACTAAAGCTTTGCTGGATGTAACAGAATGCAGTTTACTTCTGTCCCAACATAATGGAACCAGTTCAGCTGACTTGCTGAGGCAGTGCAGTGTGCAACCAAAGTAATTGTGTTATGTATAGTTAGTAGCAGATTGCATCCTTTAGTGTAACACAATGGTTGTACACTGATGGAGTGGAAATGTAAATATTTTGCACTGAAAACTGGAGAGCCAGTTTGGTTTAGTGGTTAAAGTTCTGGCCTAAAAATCAGGAGACTGTTCTTGTCTTGCTTTAGACAGGAAAATTGGATGGGTAACTTTAGAGCAGTCACTCTTTCTCCTTCCTCAGAAGGAGGGAGTTTTAGGCATGTTTACTGCCTTGAGTAACTTATAAAATAATAAAGGTGGGTGGGATAAAAATCTAATAAATTAAAATAAAACAAATAAATATGAGGGGACACAAAAATCCCTCTTGTTGCAGTGTTTTAGTTAAGAGCTACTGAATACCATATCAGAACTGGCTGAAATGCTTGTGGAACCCCACGGTTAACAAGGGCACTACAGCAGTAGAGCAGGGCTTTTCAACCAGTGGTACGGGTACCACCTGTGGTATACTGGCACCTGGCAGGTGGTACGTGACCATCCTAGAAAAGTGGTAGTGGGGGAGGGGAATGAGCTGAATCGGTGGCAGCACCGCACAAGCCTGAGCGAGAGACAGCTGGAGCTGCAGGGCTGTCAGGGCTCAGCGGAAGCGCCAGGATCAGCGCCAGGCTCCAGCTGGAGCTTGGCACTGATCCTGGTGCTTCTGCTGAGCCCTGAAGAAGCACCGATTAGCTGGAAAGCAGCACTGATCCTGGCACTTCTGCTGAGCCCAGAAGAAGCATCGATCAGCTGGAATGTTGCAGCATCTCCAGGGTCTTGTGATTTACATTCAGATGTTCGGCAACTGATTCATATTTATGACGGTCACAGTGTTCCAGGGTCATGTGAACTGACCAAAACCTGCTGCAACCACCCAACAGACCGGGGGAATA